CAGTAATAATGAAAAATGTTACCAACCAATCAGCTGCAAAGACATTTTTTCATTCCATGAATTCCATATTTACAGAATTTTCCCATCCCTGTTGAATCACCGTTACTATCTTTTCAGCAGAACGCTGCACTGTGTGCAACAGTGAATAACACCACAATTTTTTCTGACTTTTTTTCCGTTAATGATTAATATGGTGGTGATTTTTCTAGTAGGATCCACCTGAGCACTGGCTGAATAAGGTATTAGCTCTAACTAATACCTTATCAGTATTAACTTCACAGCTGATTAGAGAAACTATTTTGCCTGCCTACTTGTGAATTTTACGAAAATACTAGTTGTACCATAAGCAGACAATGTGGTAACCAAAGCTGCCAGGAAATGCTCTTAAGTCCACCGAAAAAAAATTGCCTGTTTATTAAAAACAGTTATAGATTGGCTGTGCAGTTAATTGTGCCAGAAGTCATGAAGCAGTTGTAGGCTGCCTAATGCCACTGGATCAAATGAATGGCTTGACAGTAAGAAAGCAAAATAACTAACCTAGAAAGGAAGGATCAAAACTAGACATAAGAAAGGCATATTTTTAAAAGTTGTTTCTTTACTAGGGAGAAAATATTCTGGAAGGGAAAGAAGTGTTTTCTTTAATCTGCTTTGCAAGGTCCAGAAGAAGTATAGTGGATGATATACTGACACCCTCAACTAGTCTGGAGTTCTGCCACTAACTTCCAAAGAGCCCAGATTTCACAGACATGGTAACCAGGTAGAAGAAGAAATCTCTTTATAGAGCAAGACATTCTTCATTTCCTACCTTAATGCCAATTACAGCTATAGTCTTTCTTCACAGGTCACAAACAAAAGCATGTAAGCACATGCTTAACTCGCTTCTGTTCAAAGAAGGCCTTTTAATTAACTGCAAACACATGTTTAAGTCCCTTCCTCAATAAAGCTGGTTTCTTAAATCAGGATATAAGAGTGAATTTGAAGTAGAGCTATATGAACACTAATACCCACTCTTCATTTGTATTGTTTCTCATTACAAGGAACAAACTTGTTTATGTAGGTAACTGGACAGTGAATGCTTCTGTTGGCTTTGGTGTGGCTGACTGGATCTAATTTGAAGAAACCTTGTAAGGACAGCTACCAGAGAGAGACATTGCCTGCAAGAAACTCAGCCTAAAATGAACACTGACAGCCTTGAAGTGGAACAGACAGATGGAGTCATGTTTGCCAGAGTCCCTCAAGCCTTTATTAGAAGCAGACAGGTCTGATGACTGCACAGAAAGGGAACAAGTTAGGTGTTAAAAGGAGGCAGTGTGCTCTGTAATGTGTGACTGCCTTAGCGGTTTATAGTCAGGGTTTCACCTTTTCCAAGTGGAAAGGCTCAGAGTGATGAAGAGCCCTCCATGGCGGAGATCTCTCCACTTGCAAACTTGTGCAGAAACTCAAAGGAAAAAGCACTGACTTCATTTACATGCTGAGTAATAGTGAATCTCCCAACCAAAGTTCTATTCTTCCCACAGCTCTCAGCTGATTTAAGAGAGCTCAGCAGGACACAGTGCAAAACATTTTACCTCATAAGAGGTGACAAGCAGCAGCTTTCTGTTTACCCTTTCCCTATCTTGTCACCCAGTTCTGGGGTGGTATGAAGGTACATGCTGGAGATTCAGAGTCACTTCTCCCCTCAGAACACAGAGCATTTACGGTAAGTAAACAGATTTGGAGACAAGTCCTTCCACATGTGTGGACCGGAAGCTGAGCTAAGAAAGAATTGGGTGAGTCACCAACAATGCCCGGAAGCCTAAAAAAAAAAAAAAAATTCAACAAAAAACCTGGAGTCCTCCCTACTTTGAGGGCACAGTATTATCCTCAAAAGCATAAGCAGGAACAAAATATTCTCCTGTAACACACCATTTATGGCTTCAGTAGGTCACTTTATCAGTCACTTTCCCATTAATCTTAAAATTCATAATGTTGCCAAATGGACAGCCCTAAATTTAGGAACTATCCCTGTTCCTCTTGGATGCTGCTATACACTGATACAATAGAAAAGCCTGGGAACAGCAGTGTAGACCACACTGGTTTATGAGAAAGAGTCTGGGGAAGTGATAGCAACATGAACGCTCATGCGGTCCAGCTGTTGGTCCATGCCTGACATGTCCAGATGCAGGATTGGGCTGCCACAGGGGATTATTCACCAAAGTCCTTGTATTTGCAGCCAGTGAAGACAATGATGGCTGTTGGGTCCCATAGGACAAAACTATATGCCCAGCCCTATTCATCTGGCAGCAGCAGAAGGCCTGAGGAACCATCATTACTTCCTGCCTGGGAAGAATGCATGGCCTCCCACTCTCTTGAAGCCCATGGTCTCTGTCTCCTGGCTTCTTGCCCCAAGAGGAATTTAGTGTTCAGCCCAGTACAGTAGGATAAAAAGCTATCCCCGAACAAGGGCAGGATCAAGAACATGCCATCCTGTAAGGGGAAGACAGCAGCAAATTGACCAGTTGTATGGTACCCTTGAGCAGATTAGGAGGTCTCACGGTGAAGAAATGTTAAAAGGATCACAAATTGATCTAGACATTGTTTACACACCAAGAAAGAAGCCAAAAAAGCCGCAGCTCCTCTCCTGTAAGCCAAAGCCTCTGACACAGTTTATGTTCGATGTCAATTAAATTTTATTCATACGGGTGGTACTAGTATTAAAATCCTGTTTGTTTCACTCAGGTGGGGACTGAGTACTTTTAATCAAGAAAACTGTGACATCATGGGGGCAACCAACTAACACTCAGTTTCAGTAATTCCTGAAGTCCATCCAATGAGAGACATTAAACTCCCTGTCCTCCCTTCCTCCTGAGCTAAAGTCCATTGGATTAACCCTGTAAAATGATAACTCGCCTCACCTGCAGGAATTAAAAAAGATTTGAGTTGTGCAAGTTTCTTTGACCCATATATCCTGAATTTGGGTAATTCTTCCTTATTAACTAATGGCCTTGCATGGGGGTAAGGAGGAGAGGACATGGGCATGTTCCATTTCAGTAAAATTGCCGGTCAGCTTCTTGATTATTTACAACATCTTATTAAGTGATATTATGGCATATGGGAAGCCAAGTAGATGAGGAGAATGTTACAGCAATCTAATTACTGACTCTCTTACAGTGCTCTTTACGATGGTTATTAAAGCATTCCACAGGGGTTCCTACCGCTAAAGTAAAAACATAGCAGACCTAGATTTTGACATACGAACAATCTCACAGGGTTCAGGGTCACAGGTCAGTCCAGCAGCACCCGCGGTGACCAAGCCGTGTCTGTGACGTAATGAGTGTGGCACCGCCACGTAAGCGAAGATGACGGGACGGCATGCGCAGAGCAGAGCAATGCGGTGGTGGGCAGACATGAGCCCACTGCACCTCCACGGAGCTTTGGGGGAGCCTCTCCCGAACCACTGGTCTCAGTCATGCTTGCCAATAGCTCTTTTCTTGTGGAAGGGTGAACACCCTCAGTCATTTTACTAATGAGATGAGACTAGCTGTCCAACTCCAGCTGTCAGGAACCTTTGTACAGACCCTGAATCATGATCCCTTTGGAATCTCCAAGTATAGCAATGGGCTTTTGCATTCTTGCTAGATCTTCTCAGGGCAACCGTTTTCTTACTGCCTCTATATATTCCCACACACAGCGACACCTCTATAGCTGCAAATAGCTATGGTTATTTGTTTCCTCTCTCTCCATTTTCCACTCATGGAATGTTCTTGGACACTCTCCCTCTTGCTGCCATATTTATTGCCTCCCTGGAACACAGCAGACAAAGAGGTCAACTCTGCCTTTTTGAAATTTTGGTGATGTTTTTTTCCTGCTTTTTCTAGATGTCTCAAAATATTTGTTCTTTCGTAAGTACAAGAAGTTTTGTAGAACCAATTGTATCTAGTGACTGATTTTTTTAGCATTTATAGATTTTTGTGGTATTACAGCTTTTCAAAACTTCAAAACAGAATTACTTTCTTCTCTCCCAACTTTTTACCCAGGAATGACTGCTCATCATTCATCCTACTGCCCTCAGTGACACAAACAGGAGAAAAATTAAAACAGAAATTCCCCTGCACGCAGGCCAAACCCCAGACAGGACGGGGCATCAGAAAGGCAGTGCAAAATAGCTGCCGGGACGTACTCTGGCGGGTGTGGAGAATGAGCCCATTGGTTTGACAGCGGGGGTCGGGTGCCGAGCTCACGCAGTTTACGGGCTGGTCGCTGGCTCCTTCCTCCCCCGCCTCGGCGAGCAGGCGGGAGCGGGGGGGCCGCGCCTGGGCAAGGCCGTTTCTTCTGCCTCGGGACCTTCCCGCGCTCGTAACCCAGCAGGCAGGAGAGGGGCCGCAGTACCAGTCAGGGGGTCCGCACGGACAGGGGCGGGCTCCCCGACACCCGGCTTGCGCGGGGCCGGCCGTTAACCCGCCCCGGGCCCCTGGGGAGGCGGCCGGTGTTGACCCTAACGGCCCCCGCGGAGGCCTGCCGCCCGAAGGCGTGATGTCACAAAACCCCCCCGCGCGACACCCCGCAGCGGCGCGAGCCCTTCTCCCGCCCCAGCCTGCAGGGGGAGCTCCGCCCCCCCAACCGCCGCCGCGCGCGCCGGGCCGGGGCCGTGTGAAGCGCACCTTTTGCACGAGTCCCGCTCGGCGCGGGGCGGGGCTTGCGAGGCGGCGGGTGATGGGAGGGGGAAGGGGGGGTGGGGAAGCCGACGGTCTCAGCCAATCGAAGACGCCAGAGCTCCCGGGACGTCACGCGCGGGCCCACCCCCCTCCTCCGGCACGGCTCGTCGGGGCGGGGCGGCGGCGGCCGGGGGGCGGGGACGGGGGGGCGGGGCCTCCTGTCGCGAGGGCGCGGGGGCCAATGGCGAGCGAGGCGGAGGGCGGGGGCGGGCGGGCCCCTCCGGGTGTGGGGGGGCGGCGGCCAATGGGGCGCGGGCGGGGGGGCGTGGCCGTGCCGGCTCGGGTTCCGTGTGGAAAGAGTGAGGGGGCTCGGGTGCAAAGTTTGCTCGCCCAGCGCCTGCGGAGGGAGCGGAGGTGGCCGGGCCGGCGGCGGCGGCGGGGAAGCGGCCGCGCTCGTCTTTGGGGCTCCGCCGCGCCCGCGGGCCGCTCGTTGCGCCGATCGCCGGCCGCTCTCTTCACGCCGGGCCGGGCCGGCGACCGCTGCCCCCGGCGCGATGTGCGGGGGGATGGCGGTGAAGGGGCCGGGCGGGCCGCGGTGGTGGCAGAACCGGCGGGCGCGGCTGCTGTGCATGCTGGCGCTCACCTTCCTCTTCTTCGTGGTGGAGGTGGTGGTGAGCCGGGTCACGTCGTCGCTGGCCATGCTCTCGGACTCCTTCCACATGCTCTCCGATGTCATGGCCCTGGTCGTGGCGCTGGTGGCCGTGCGCTTCGCACAGCGCACCCGCGCCACCAAGAAGAACACCTTCGGGTGGGTGCGGGCCGAGGTGATGGGCGCCCTAGTCAACGCCGTCTTCCTCACCGCCCTCTGCTTCACCATCCTGCTGGAGGCCATCGAGCGCTTCACGGAGCCCCATGAGATCCAGCAGCCGCTGGTGGTCATCGGCGTGGGAGTGGCGGGACTCATCATTAACCTGCTGGGGCTCTGCCTCTTCAACCACCACGGTGTCGGGGGCCACGGCCATTCCCACGGCCACGGGCACTCGCACAGCGGCAGGCAGCACGCCCGCAGTGGCGCCAAGCCCGAGCAGCCGCCTGGGGACGGGGAGGCTGCGCTGCACCGGGAGGAGACCAGCACCTTGGTGGAGAACTGCAGCAGCTCCAACGGAGTCAGCCAGGAGAAGCTGGGTAAGCCCTGCAGTGCCTCTGTCCCGTCCCGGTGTAAGAGCCGGGAAAGCGGGAGAGGTTCCTTCCCTTGCCGAGGGCGGCGGGCATGCTGGTCCCATCTGCCGCAGGCGTCGTGGCGACCACCCGTCCTTCCTCCCGGGGAAGAGGCAAGAAACCTTAGCGGTGCTCTCGGGCACAGAGCTCTTGCACCTCTACCTCACGGGTTTCCTTCAGATGCTAGAAGGGATGCCCTAGGTTGTGGGCTTGTCGTGCAGATAGGTCAGAGTGTGAACAAGTCTTGGGGTAAAGCAGTTTGCCTTGGAAAAAGTTGGTGCTGGTGGAGAAGGCACATGACAAGTGGCTTTTGCCTAGCGACACAAGCTGTCACAAGACATTGCCCTAATGCCTTCTGAACTGGCTGCACATCAAACAGAGTGCAGCTCAACACCTTGGACCTGACAGCCGTATCTCTCCGTTGGGTCGATTATTAGCTACCCTGAGAAGCTAATCTCAATCTGATTATAAAATACCGAAATATATTCCACTGCGGTAATGTTGTACTTATTCGTGACATCCATATTAATAGGAAGAAGTATTGGAAATTACCAGTCAGAACTGTGGAAGTCATGCAGGAGGCACTGAATGTGGAGCTCATTGGTGTCAGAGTACATGCGTGGTTTCTTTGAATTAGTTTTCTTTAGCTTTCTAAAGCATGCACCTTCCCACTCGCTTGCACATAGAGATAAATTTAAAATCTTCCCAGTTGTGATCAAATCAGCCTATATTGTGGGAGGGAATTTCTTGGGTTATTTTTTTGATGGATGCAGAAGCCTGGATAGCGTATTTTGAAGTCACTTGGTTGAAGCCAAGTACTGCCTGCTAGCAGAGTGAAAGGTGCATAATTGCTGTTTCCCTACTTGAATCATATGGCACCCCTGTTATCCAGAGGAAGGGGGTCCAGTCTTCAGAACCCGTGTCTCCTTTATTTTAAGGGTGACATCGGGAGACCACTGTTTTAGCTTAAATTGAGCTTTAATTGAGCAGAGTGAACTGTGTGACAGTTTCGCTTTCTCTGTGGGTAGGGGTTCCAGTACACATCTGAGAAACTTAGCAGTTTCTCTCTTCAGTGTTTTGATTCCATGTTGGTTTTGAAAAGACAGGTTTTGCAAGGGGATGGGAAAGTTCCCCTCAATAGAGTACACTATTTTCTTGACCACATAATAAGCTCTTAATGTTGGTTTAGTTCCAGCAGGTATCCTAATAATTAATTTCAAACAAAATTCCCTTAACCCTTGATCTGATAGATATCTTGGCTTGTGAATTGTTCTTACATGGTTAAACAGGGTGAAAAGTTGCTCTTTTAGGCAAGTTTTGGACTAGTTCTAGACTAAAAGATTAATTTATAGCATGGATTAAAACCTACACTGTTTTGAGCTAACTTGTCTGGAGTTTCTCAGGGATGTCTCGTTATAACAAATAATTTGTTGTGGGTATTTAGGTGGTAATAGGGCATAATTTTGGTCACAGTGAGACTTTGAAATAAGTTTGTTTTTCCTTCTGTGCCCTGTCATGATTATGTAATGGATGGAATAATTCATAGTTTACCCATGGAAATGTTACAGGTAAAGGTGCTTGGAGACTTGTGAGAAGCTGTAAGGTGTGTAGGTGAAGACTAGGGAAATGACTGAGAGTGGTACTATGCCTTCACTGAAAATTCCAGAGAGGTAAACCCTGATTTCCTAAGGTGGAAGTGGAAAGCTAGTGATAGCCATAGGGGCTAGTCCTGCACAGGTGTCTTTGTGCATATAGCTTTTGTGAAGTGATCAGTTTATAGTTAGATTTAAATGAGTATATTTCAAATGGACACGTTTTAACCTTTGGCCATTAAAAAAATCTCAAGAGCTTTCTGGAACCATGTTTCCTGTTACCCTTATAGATAGGTCTACTGACTTTCCAAATCTTTTTTCTCCAAGTACTTGGTACGCAGCAGTGTCAGAAAAGTTCCTCTTTCCTTTCTCTCATCGTGGATCCTGAGGTCTGCATTCTGTAACCTGAGATATTTTCCTCTAATTTATTGATTTTTCTGGAAAGTTACAGGTCCTGTATTCTATAACTCCTAGAAGTTGTATGGAAAATGTAGCTGAAGCTCTAGGACACAAGTGTGATGCACGAGGCCATGAGCCTGGAGCTTAGAACTGACCCGCACAGCCACCTTTGTAGAAGCCTGCCCCTTCTTCAGAGGGAAAAGAACTTGTAGACACTTTATGATTACAGAATCGCAGTCATGAGAACAGAGTGGCAGAAGTTGCAGGTCATGCTAACATGTTAATGTTTGCAAAGCTCTGAACCGAATAACCATAGAAGCAGTAAGGGCTCCTTGTTTCAGGTTGCCAGGCCAGTGGCCAGTGCCCGTTATATTTCTTTAACACTGGAAGTTTCCCATCCAAAGAAGAACTTTTGAAGAAAAGTAGAAGGTTAATTATTTAAAATACTTGCAAATTTGAACATCAGAGGATGGTTTTCTTTCAAAAAAACTCTCTTCTTTGTAATGATGTGGGCACTTATTCCTATATAGCCAGTTAGGAGTGATGGAGTGGTAATATTGCAGACAGCTTTGACAAAAGAGGGCACTAAAATGTTAATTTGTGCATTTGCATGGTCCATGACATAAGGCTTTGGGGCATCAACAGCTGTGTGTCACTTTAAAAAAAAGTACTAAAAATATGTTTTTCATGTATTCTGAAATATAAATAACACTAGTTCATAGCCTCTGGGAGCTTCATTGTTAACAGATACACTGTCCTGTACTCAGTGCTGCTGATAAATTCTGGAATTTAGACCTAAAAGCTTAGCTTACTGTATCTTGCAGTTCTGTTGGCTCCATGCGCCATCTCAGAAGAAACTTCCTTTTCCTTGAACCTGAGAAGAAGTTACTGTAAAGCAGTATCCTTGCAGCCTTTGAGCTTCTGGCCTCAAAATTTAGTACAAAATAGCAATGCAATCCTATGGTTTAAGAGAGATTTTTAGCAATGTGACTAGCCTTCTGGCTTTTCAGGAGGGAACAAATGTAAGTTATTTAGCTACTTAACCAGCTTTTTAATATATGCTCCATAATTCTGCGTTTTGTTTAAGAAATGAACAGTGAGTAGTCAAATGGTTAAACAGCTGGAAAACTTGCAAATAGTTTTTCAGTAGAATAAATTAAAATGCGGTCATCTTCTTACTTTGCCACTGTACATCGTTAAGCTCCATGTAGAAACAATTGCCCTCTAGACTATTTAGATCACTTACTGGGACTACTGAATATTTCTCAGCCAGAAAAAACGTTGCTAAGTGTTATGGGTAGAGTTGCTTGCTTTTCAGTTTTGTACTCAATGTGGCAAGCTTAATGTTGGTAATTGTTTTATATAGAATTATAGTGATATGTAGTATTGATATGCCTAATCCTTTGACTGTTTTCTTGTCAGGTGATATGAAAGACGACATGACTGACCTACAGGTGAATGGGAACGCTGGTCATTATCCTCTGGATGTAGAGGAGGTTGAAGAAGACTCTAGTGCACAGCTTAACATGCGTGGAGTTTTTCTGCATGTTTTTGGAGATGCCTTAGGTTCCGTAATTGTGGTAGTGAATGCCTTGCTCTTTTACGGGTTGTGGAATCCATGCCCCAAAGATGGGCCCTGCTTTAATCCATGTGTCAATAATCACTGCATGGAAAATTCTACTTTAACACAAACACTTGGCAGAGCAAACGAGTCTGAGCAAGAGAGCATTACGGTGGCTGGTCCATGCTGGTTGCTGTATTTAGATCCTGTCCTTTGTTTGATGATGGTTTGTATACTTCTTTACACAACTTACCCGTTACTTAGGGAGTCAGCCCTTATACTTCTGCAGACTGTTCCTAAACAAATAGATGTTCATTCTTTGAACTCAAAATTACGTACCCTTGAAGGAGTTGAAGCAGTCCATGAATTACACATTTGGCAGCTGGCAGGCAGTAGGATCATTGGCACTGCTCACATAAAGTGCCCTGACCCTTCCACATACATGATGGTGGCAAAGCGCATAAAGGAGATCTTTCATGACGAAGGGATTCATGCAACTACCATTCAGCCTGAGTTTGCCAGCGTTGGCTCTGAATCAGGGCGAGGGAAATGTGAGTTCCCTTGCAGGACTCAGTGTGCGTTGAAGCAGTGTTGCGGAACAGGAGAAGATAGTACTGCAAAGAAGACAGAAAAGTCTTCATCCCTTAGTATTTCTTGTTCAGAAGTTGTCATTGAATTTCCGAAAACTAGGAGGACTAAGTCGGAGAGCATCCCTTCAGTTAAGCTAGAGGCAAACATGGATCAAAATGAGCAGTTTGAATCATCTTTGTAACTCCCTGAATGGTGCTACCTAAGTTTTGGTGACTTTGACAACAGCTGTATTGCAAGAGGAAGAGACAGACTTTTGAGATGCAATTTTGCCAAGTAGTGTAATTGCTGAAGTCCTTGTTCTTGTCATATTGCTAAATCTAGGATGCTTGTTTTAAAGAATATAACATCACTGTCATGATACAATGTGTTTGTGCTGACTTTGTACTGAGACAGACAGAAAGTGCCCCAATGCTGTAACAACTTCAGAAAATCCGTTTCAACATTTCAGCAGAGACACTTTTTGCTGTGCTTCAAATGCAAATATTTTTTCCAGTGAACAGGTATTTGAGGGATAAGCATGTAGGAACTCAATTTGTGTTACAGATTTTTTTGGACCTACTCTTTCCTTTAATATTTGATTTGTAGATATTTTAATATATTGTTTATTTAGAAGCCCTAAGGAAACCAAAGCTCATAGAACATTTTTAAAGATATAACTGCTTAAAACTGGAAACCACTTTGCAGTTTCACATACTTTTCTTAAACTTATATAATAAATGTGAAGGCTTTTCTAATGAATTTATCGTATAGCATATCTTAAAGAGAACATCATGTGATTGTTAGAAACTGTCCCCACTTTTTCTGGTAAGGTAGCAAGGTAATTAAAATCAACTGCTTGTGAAAATATCAGATGTGAAAGGTTTTTTTTTTTTCTATCAGAATGAAAGTTCAAGCTACTGTATACTGCTCTGTGATCAAGACGTGAGACTGACCGATAAAGTAATGCATACTTTCATGTTTTATGGATTTTCTGGTGGTTTTCCTTATTTCCAAGTTGTGTCTTGTGGTCATAAAAGTCTTTGAAGTTTAAAGAATCCTTGACTCACAGTGCTATAAATGAAGAGCTGGAACTTCATTTTTAACTGATTCTCGGGTAGTAAACTGAAAAAAAAAAAAAAAAAAAGAATTAGTTATGTCAATAAGTGCTCTGTAGGGGAAAGTCTGCCGGACACTGACAGTATAATTCATGCTTTTAAGCATCGACAGTAGCCTCTGTAACAAGTAATTCAGTGGTGCATTTTGCTTGTAGTTGAGTGTGTCTGTAAGCACTTGCAGTGACTGCAGTCCTGGTCCCCACCGTGTCCTCTGGAGCCTTCTGCTGACTTCTGAAGAAGTGGGGCAGGGAGTAGGATTTCATTCACTGTATTTCACACTTTGAGATGTTTATGTATCACATAATTTCACTTAGTAAGTATCCAAATCTATGGTTTAAAATGTTAACTGAGTTAATTGACAACTGGCTCTAAAGAAGCTGTTACAGTATGCTGCCAATTTACACCTTAACAAAGGAGAAACTGGTCTATGAACTCTGTGAATTTGGCAGAGACTAGATGAGATTTGGAGATAAAACATGCAAGAAATCTAATCTAAAACCCTGACCCATTTGATCTGCCCTCAAGTTCTGTATAGGCAATAACATCTTGTGATTTAATTGACTGCTCCTATGCTCACAACTGGAAAACAACTCTGATCTTCTGTTGTTTGCTCTGTGACTCTGGACACGATAAACACTCTGCCTCAGTTTCCCTGTCTTAAAATGGGGATAATACCTACCTCACAGGGGTGTTGTGAGGCTTAACTTTTGTGTGAAGAGCTCTGAGATCTGTTACTGGAAAGCACTGGGAGGAGTGTAAGATACGAAATTACATGGTATTTACTTCTACAAATGTGTTGCAATACCTAGGCACAACAGAGGGAACTGAGGATAGTTTTGGCCTTATGAAATTCTTTGATGCTGTGGTTTTCAGGTTTTTAACAGTATTTAAATGTAGATTTTTTTTTTAAAAGAATGTTTTGTTAGTGAAGGGAATGTAGCTTTGCCTCCGGATACAGAACACCTCGCTAGTTGGCATTTCTAATATGTGTCTCGTATGATAATTGCTCCTAAGTAGTTCAAAGTAGTCTGCTGCTTGTTGGACCTGGACTGGCCCAGGTCGTGTCAGTGGTCTTGCCCAACTTCTCAGCAGAGCACTGCAGTCAACTCTCGATTGTCCATGGGTGGGTTACCAGTGTTGTACATTAACTGTGCAGTCCACAGGGCCAGCCTAGCTCTGTATTGCATGCCAGTGCCTTGGCCAAATGCTGTGTGCCAAAGCATTGGAAAAGTAGAGGAGCTCAGCCCCGTTTCATGTGAGCCCCCTCTCACGGGGTTCGTTAGCTTGGGTGCAGCACCACACAGTTATTTTGTCTCTTGGCTGCTCAGATGCATCCACAGGAAGCTGCGATGTGTGGATGGGTCTGTTCAGCATCACTTGCCTGTTTCTGTGTTTATGCTTGTTGTATAGTCTCATAAACTAACTTAAATATGTTAATATAGTATTTATGTATGTTTTTGTTTTGTCTGAATTATCTTAACTCTTTCTTCTGTTACCTGTATATGATCTAGAGTTGACTGTTAAATGAGATCTTGTATGAGACTACATTTGCAGAATATGCTGTCACTGCTAGTATACTACAAAGTATTAACCAAGTAAATTTTGGAATGAACAAAGTACTTTTTTTTTTTTTTTTTGGAAATATGTATCCTTGCTTTTAATGGTAAACTTTCAGTACTTATTTTGCTCACTAGTTTAAAATTGGTCTCAGTCATAAGGCTGAATTATTGAGGTCCTGCTGTATATCACTAATGTGCCATAGAATTACTGCTCTTTAGTTTATTTAAAAAAAACAAACCCAAGACAAACTGTAGTAGCACTGAGAAGCCTGACTGACTTCTCTCCTGTTGCTCTTATAAGAAGAGAGCAACTAGTAAGTCTTGACAGTTGCCACCATTGGTTAACAGTCTCAGTAAGTGCATCTGAGTAGGTGGAGTTGCAGTCACTAATTCCATTGTAATTATTTAATCTTTTTTTTGTGTGCCAGAAGTCATATTTTTCTATTTCTGTGTCCATTGCAGGCAATGGCTAGCTTAAAAGACAAAAATCTCTCCCCCACATTATTTTTATTATCAGGACAGGATGCAGATGTGACGATGATGATGATGAGGGCTGGAGGGGGAGTTGCGTGGCCTCTCTGTCATGTGCCATGTTGCATGTGCAGCACCAGCTGGTGTTAACAGGGCCCTTCAGTCTCTTTCGCCCTGAATGGTAAACTCTCTGGAAACATATAGTCAGGTCAAGGTGGTGGCTGTACAGCAGCAGGAACACAATTTCTCTGTGTGTGCTGGCTGTATGAGACCTGACTGTAGCCTGCTCATGATATAGCTTGATGTTTTTTATGTGGTGACACAGACTTGGTTTGTTCTGAAGATCACAGTTTCAGAATACTGGGAGCATTCAAAAACACTGCACAGTCTATTTTTTTTGTTTTTCCACAAAGCATGAAACTAGTGAATCTCATGTAAGTGAACACTGCAATGGTGGGGAGCTAATTGTATTGTGTATCACATTCCTGAATTTTTAAAATAAAAAAATATGGAACACTGATTTTAAGGAAAACTAAGTTTGTATTTCAGTGTCTAGATTGTTTATGGTTCTGATTAAATGTGTACCAAACGTCATTGGGTGAAATATTTTACACATAGTACATGTCTCATCCAGAAACATGCTATTTTAGAATCACTTCTTAGGCGATATCTGCACCTGAGGTGCAGTGCAGAACTAATTCAGACACTCAGTGGGCTAGCCACAGTACCATGAAGCTTTACTTTTTAGCAGAGTAAATTACTTCCGTGGAATCCCTCGGAATTTTAGCTCGACTGCTTTCAATGTCCACTCTAGGCTTTCAGTAATATCTGTTATTGCTGCATCATGGTATTCAGTATGGACATACACATAGGTATGTAGAAGACAAAACTAGCCCCAACTTGTGACTCCCAAGAAGCCATGGCAAGGCCTCAGTCTTGTAAATTTCTGTATTCATGAATAGTTTCATCAGGCCCACGAGTAGTTACTTGCATGCAATGAATTATGTGTGGGAGTGAGTCCAGAGCTTCCACCAGTACAGCCTGGCTTTTGAAGAGTGACTGAAAGTACCTAGATTTTATGGATGTATTAAAATCAGGAGTTGCTAAATTTGCTGCCGAAATACTACCAGTTTGTTATAATTCCAGGATTTATTCCTTTTCCCCATTTTCCAAAAAGAGAGAAAAAAGCCCACTGAATGTCCTACGACTTGTTAACAAGTTTAGCTAAACTGACATTGCTGTTTGCTTCTGAATTCGTGCCATCCGAATTTATTAAACGCTGCCTAGTGGAGTTTGGGGAGGAGGGATAAAGATTCTTGCCATTCTCCTTCCCCTACTTCCCCTGCTTTGACTGCACTTTCTAATCTCTTTAGCTATGGAGAGACCGGGGGGATAGAGGGGGTGAATTCTGTAGCTAGATGTTCTGAGTTCCACATGGAGGGAATGGGAAATACTGCTACCTATATTTAAAAGCATATAAATGTGCTCATACTATTTTAGTTTCATAGCACAGCATCAGTTACGCCCTTTCTAGGTATGCATTTAAGTTGTTCTGCTCTGTAGTAACTTCAGTTGTTTCATTCTCTGCTGGACAGAGAGAGGTAGATGCTCCATTTGCCTGAGCTAAAGCCAGTCTTGACAATTTTCCAAATAAAACGTAGCTTTGCTGATAAGAGGAGGTCTGATTATTCCTTATGACCTTTGCTTTGTGTGGTTAGCTGCCTGTGAGGTACAGTACCATGTTTTAGCGGGGTCACATATTATTTTTGCATTCACCATGTTATCTAAGTAGTTGAAGAGCAAAACCACAATACTGAAAAATATTTCATCTATATGTGTCCAAAAAGAAAGCACATAGGATTAATTTGGCTTCTTTTTTTTTTTTTTTTCATGTCTCTGATACTGTTTCTGAGCAGTGTTGAAATATAATTGGCATAGCTAGTGTTCATTGATAATATTTCTTTTTGCCTTCTTTTCAAATAAACATTGGTTTTGGTGGTTTTTGGTTTGGTTTGTTTTTTTTTTTTTTTGTACTAAGTATTAATGTCCTAATGGAGCTCTTTAATGTTAAATACTTTTAGTTGGGATTTTTTTTCTCAGGTCACTATTTAGGAAGAAATTTGACTAGTAGAAATGCACTTTCACCGTCTCCCAGAACTCCAGAAACAAGTACAAAGAGCACAAGTAGAAGAGGAGATTTATAAGTGGGTTGTAAAATGGTGGCCTCCAACTGTCTGGATTCCAGGTGCAATTAACAGAATAGTTGCTTAGTTCTAATATCATGTGAATAGTCAGTTATGCAAAATGCATTTCTCTTCCTGCATTTTTTTTCCTAATAAAAACAGCCTTTGAAAAGAAAAAAAAAAAAATTCCCTGTCCTGTTAATTGGCCATGGTTAGATATCTAACATACAGGTCAATAAGGTAGGCTGCCTAATAGAAGTCTGTACTGTTTTATTTAATGTCTTTGGAAGATAGCTACTTTAGAGCAGAAGGTGCTTTGGTGTTTTTCAGCTTCATTTGTTTCAATTCAGAAACACTGCAGTTTGTAAAGTTTGTTGGGAGAAAAGTACTGACTGCAGAGAAAGATGCGGCTGCCAGCAGTGATACTGAGGAGGGCAGGATCGTTATTATCTGCCTTGAGCTGTTCACAAGTGTGCAATGATGAGTTCATTTTGGAGCCCTTCACTGGTGCACCTTCAGCAGCTGCTTTTTTCTGCTTCAAGAGGGAAAAGTGATTCCATATTATTAGTTATCTATGCAGGAGGGTATGTTTGGTTGTACTGTAAGCATTGCACGTGAGCTTAAGTTTTGCCATTTTCCAAAGCTACTTCTACCTCCTCATGAAAAGATGTGATTTAAACTTACTACGAACATCCTTTATGAGACATACTAGTGTGGGAATTTTTAATTAATGTGATGGGAAGGGAAGCTTCAGCTCTACAAGCTTACTTTTGCTTTTACACATACCTTTACCCACGCCATTCCTAGACCTCCTACCCCGGATAGTTGCCTGACTGCCTCAAGGACCTGATCCAGCTCCCAGAACAACTCTTCCTTGCTGGTTTTGCATCAGAGGACCTGATGCCACAAGGGAAGGGCAGGACGGGAGTGAAGCTGTGTCTGGCTCTAGGCAGGTGAGCACTTTCAGCAGGAACCTTCTCAGTCTGATCTGTGCTAGCATCCCAAACCAGGCATGAAACCCTTGCCACCAAAACTTTGCTTGACATTTAAATATATGTATTTTGTGTTGGGTTTTTCTCTCTTTCCTTTTTTTTTTTTTTTTTTTTTTTTTTTGTGACAACACAAACTTTAAAGTAGTGCTCAGGACAAACTTATCCCTGCTCCTGTCACCCAAGGTCTGTTTCAAGCTGCAGTGTTGGTAGGCGTCCCAGTGTTTCCCTCACACCATCTAGTGCAGCTAAGAATAGCCAAGGCAGTGCTGTGGAACAGGATGTGCAACCTGCTGGGTTTCCTGCGTTTGTGATTGTGTCGCTGGCCTGGGCTGAAGCCTGTCCTTCTCCATCTTCCCTGCTAGCGCTGCTGGATGCACAAGGTGGATTTGTTAGATTTAATTTGTTGGACTAGTTTTGCTGCAGGTTGGCCTCCACTTGTTGCAATTGCACTCTGCAGTACAGGCAAAACCTCAACCGAGTCAGATACTTACTTGCTGCCCGTCTTTCTTGCTTCGGAGTACAGCTGCCGAGCATAAGCGGTTCTTGCTGGCCCGCTGCAGACAGAGGCAGACAAGGGCTGCCGACCTGGATTCAGCTTTGCTGCTTGGTTTGATGTTACCGTGACACCCTTCTAGCTGAGGGTGCAGCTTAGCAGCTGCGTGCAGCGAGCGCAGCACAGTCTCAGCAGGTAACCAGGTCACAGACGCTTACCTGGTCTTGGTGCTCATACCCTACTTCAGGAACGAACAGCACTCCCACAGATAGATTCTGCACATGTTGTTATACCCTCGAGATTTTTGAATTAGGCAGCATTGGCTGGAGACGCAGACCATTGTTTTTGTCCTGGGGTGCTCTAGGTCTTTCCCCAGTCAGCTGCAGACAAGTTTATTTTACCTTAAGAAAAGGATTATGTGAATTAACAAAATTTGGGTGATAATTTTCACTTGTATTTCCGTGGCCAAGTGGGAAGGTTCTGACCCAAATGGATGGGGTTGATTCTGCATACTTCTAGCTGAGTCTAAGGAGGAGTTGGGTTAAAATACCAGGGAAAATCTAGGCTTCAGCAGTTAATCTTCTAAATAGCCATAGTGGTAGAGGTCTTAGACTTTTATGTCATGCTGTTTTGAAGCAATTTGCTCTTCTCACACTGCTGTTCAAAAACATAGGAAGGAAGAATTGTGTTTAATTATCACAAGAATTATTAGCTAGCCTCGGTAGCTGTGTTTCCAGTCTGTCTGAGAAATCTCCCTCCATATAGTAGATTCACAGTAGAGATACTGATGAGTTAGCTGGCAAGCTATTGCAAAAAAGGAGGTGTTTGGTACATATGCTTCAGCTTGGAAGCAGAATGACACTTGGCACCATAATGCCCCAGTTATCTTTTTTTGAAGGAGTAGGAAAACTACAGCACTAAATATTGAGTCAGGCTGTGTGGGCAGAGCCCCCATGTCAGGACTGTGCTGATGTCACGGTTGCAGCATGACGTCGCCAGCTGTATGTGAAAAGCTCAGAGCACCACCCAAGCCACGTACGTAATTCAAAACCTCAGTAACGTTGGCTGAAAACTTGCATGGGATTATTTTTCTTTAAAATATTCAGAGAAGTTTAGCCATACAGCTTAAACATCTCACTACCAATTTAGTAGATGAGCTGGAAGGATTTAGGCCGTGGTATGTAATTCACCTGTGTTGCAACAGTGTGTGCTGCTCTGGGAAAAAAAAAAAAAAAAAAAGTGCCATTGAACCCAGAGTTTGAATGCCATTGCCCTTGTGTGCACTTTCTGAAAGCATCTAGAAAATGAGGTAACATCAAAATAATGTTTCTCTACTGAAAGCTGTTTGGATACTAAAGTCTACAGCTTCTGCAGTAGCCTTGTGTCACCAAGAGGTCGGCTGTCTCATTTGCAGCACCCCTGATCACAAATGCACCGCAAGACCAGCATCTGTGGTGCGCTTAATTGCTGGCCTCTGCTCAAACAGTTATCTTAGCTATTACTGCATGTTTGGGAGTTTCGTAACAATTAAGGTGACATGGAAAAAGAAGAGAACAGGCACTGGAGTTCTTTAGATTTTTAAGAATGGAAAGTTTGATCTGTGGGATTTTTGCCAAAACTCCTTTCAGTTCTGGTAGTATGAGGAAGGTAGACCGCTCCTCCCGTGGCGGTCACTCTGGTTAGCAGAGAGCAAACGAAATTGTAGCATCCATGGAGAAAGATGAGCAACGGAGTGTGTATGGGCTTTGCTTTTGGACTGATTATAATATTTTCTCCCTGCAGCTGTTTTGGTAACAGTGTTCTTTGGTCTTCCTCTATAGCTCTGCAGTGCTTAACAGCACTGTGAGACCTA